GATTATATTATCTGACTTCTCCCTCTCACTCAATTTTCTTTCCCCCAACCCATTTCCTTCAGATACCATAGACCAGAGGTCCCCAACCTATGGGCTGTGGCCCACTACTGGGCCACGGCCTCTTGGCCACTGGGCTGTGTGAGTAGTTGGGCAGTGCATGTGCACATGTGCAGGTGCTCACTTCCCCTTGTGCCATGGTTGCCACTACTCTCACGTGGGTGGTGGCGTTGCCATGAACCTTGCGTGGGCAATGGTAGTGCCACAAGCGGGCTGCGGTGTGAACCTCACGTAGGGGCAGCAGTGCAATCGTTGCACTGGTGGTAGCATTTCTGTGAGCCTGACGGTGGCAGCACAAGCCTCACACAGGCACCAGCATCACTGAGAGCCTCACGTGCATGCTCACAGCCCTGTTTGCATGGTGCGCATGCTTGCAGCCACATTCATGTTTGCTCATGCATGTGTAAGGCTCTTGCCCTTCCCTTTCCCACTGGGTTGCCAACCCCTACCTTAGACCACAAATCCTATCATTCTGGCTAGGACTGTTGGGTATAGTCAAAATTGCTCCACACTGTTCAATATCACCTTCCCTTCTCAGATTTGTTTTTCTTTTCAAATTGCATCTTATATATTTGCGTTTTAAGGACAACATGAAATATTTATTCATTTATTAAATTTATTTGAAATGTGTTAATCTCTGCAGAACTTATTCAGCCGCTGATCTTGGGTTGTTTGGAAACATAAGAAATTTATTATTTAAAATCATGATACTAAAAAAAACAAAGAGCACACTTCTTGGTTTTGGAAACAAGCAATCCAGAGTATCATTTCTTTTGTTGTTGTTTTTATTGTATCTTGAAGAACTAGTCCATTCCCTTAGTCTTGGTGACAAAATTGTTATCTCTGCACAAATATGCAGATACAACTATGAAGAGGTAGCCTTATCCTTCCTTCCTCTGTTTCCCTCGGGTTTCTACTGCTTTTCCAATGTTTGGGATTGGGTCTTGTCAGAATTTGGACCTGAAGCATGCCAAGTGATTATTTGGCTAGCGTGAGTTAAAATGTGAGTAGCAATAAGGGGCAAAAGAACATTTTAAAGTTGCCTGGCAACTATAGATATAAAGTCCTCATGTCAATTTTTGTAGGTCAAAAATTGATAGATTATGAAGAAGACTTGTATAACAATTCAGCTTCTTGGAACAGTAGGAGAATCTGACAGAAAACTGCTCAGTGAATCCCACACACACAGGGCTGACATCTGGTGCAAATATTTTGCTTGTCTTCAGGGCATTTTGACTCTCTGTGCATCTTAATTCAGTTTGTGTTCTTAAAACGTCCTCAGTTATAGCAGACTGAACCTTGTAAAAGCAGGGGGTATTAAAGACATTATTTAGAGAAATAAGGTTGCTGTAATTATTTCCCATAACTCTAAAAGTTCACATATCCTAGCTTCAGTTTACAAGGGAAATAATTTATGATGGCCAAAATTTAAAAAGTCAGAGAAGAACATGGTTTTAAAATGATGAAGCCAATAAGTGAGATAGCTAGCTAACTATGAAAGCAATGGGAGCACACTTATGCATTGCATGTGATAGGCAGGCACTCCTTTCATTCTGCCCATCTAGTATTGATTAGCTGTTTACTTTCATTAAGCAGTTGAGAAATATATTAAGAATTACTACTTAGCAAAAGGCTGCTTTGCCCCTTGGAAGTATACCTAGGTCTCTTGATAATAATATTTCCTAATCAAATTTTCAAAGAATTTGCAGGTTTCTTTGCAGCAAGTGATTTGAACCTTTACTTTCAACACAATTTGACATTTCTGAAATAAACTACTATTCAGCCGTAATGTTCTCTTAAATTTTAAGGCAGCCATAAAGAAAATCCACAAAGAACATGCTTTGAAGATAAAGACACTAATACTACAGGGAAGAGTTGGATTTTTATTATGCATTGCTTTTTTCAGTAGACTGATAAACTACTGTCTGTTTGTTATAGGATAACCACATTTTTACTGTTACATTTTTAATGTATCTTTTGCTCCTTACATGGAGTTAGAAGTGTCTGAGTGCATAAAAATGCATTCAACAGTGATCTAAAGCAAGAATTTTTCTGATGCATGATTTCTGCTGGCCATGACTGTTATTTTGTATATAATAATATTGAAGCCATAATCAGCTGAGGGATTAATTATCCCCTTTGTTTAGTCATCCTCTTTTCTTCAATCGATTCTTAAAATGGATTACTACTAATCCCACAACAAATATGACAAACCGGGAGCAGAGTTTTTAAACTTGCAACTGTAGTTGGCTTGGTTTTGTTTTACAGTAGGTTGATGGATGAATAAATGATTTAGTGGTACTGTAAAGGGATATAGCTTCACCTATTAAAATCTGCATATGCAGTGTTTCTTAAAAATGAGAGGGATTTTTATTGTTTTCAATTTGCAACCCTTATGCCAGCAATAACTAGAGAAAAAAGGAAGTTTTACAAATGAAAAGCAGTGGTATCTTTATGAATCTTCAAATCAGTTTTTGACTCCTGGCAATAGCCTGGACTAGCCCCTGCAGTTTTCTTGGCAAGGTTTTTTAGAAGACCTTGCCTACTTCCTAAGGCTGAGGGAGAGTGACTCGCCCAAGATAACCCATCTGGTTTCATGGGCTTAGAACTCATGATTTATAGCTTGGTATCTTAACCACTATACCAAACTACTTCTTGAAAAGCAGTGATAAAAATGTACATGACCTGGCAGAGGAAAAAAGCTAGAATAAGATTGAAAAAGATTGGGATTCTGATCTATATATGAGATCTAAAATAGAATACATCTAAATAGATAGAATATGTATTCTGAACATAAGACATTGTAACGATTTGAGATAAAGAAAAATTTGGTCATATAAAATCTAGAAATATGTTGAAATAAGAATATTATATTGTCATTAGATGGGTAAGATAGAGGGTAGAAGTTATATATAAGTGTGTATTTTAAATATTAGAGCAATTGGGATAAAGGAATTGTGTTTAATTAAAATTTGGAAAAATTAAATATTAAATGTAATCTGAACGTCTACAAATAATTAAGATTTGAATTTAAGATATTGTTATGAGTTGAGACAAAGGTTAATAAAACTTAAAAGTATAAATACTAATAAAAAAATTTACATGAATCTTCAATGCCAATAAAGTAGTGAACCCCTGAGAATCAAACATTAAATTGTATTAGTTTTTTAAATAATAGTATATGTTGGTTGCAGCCTGAAGCAAAACTGCAGGCTCAAAACACAGAAATTTGATACAGCAAGCAATGTCCTGCAGAGATCTATCTATCCATTACTCCATCCCTAAATATGCACATCCTAAATAATTCAATTTATTTTTTGAAGACATGTATATGGCTGCTGAACTCAAACACTGAGATTTTGGGCAGTTTACAATAAATGGAAAATAAGCAAAAGCAAATAAACAATTCAGTAAAAATGAAAACAAACCCATGGTGGGCAATCTGGAGCTTGCAATTGCTACCTTCTTCCAGATAGGAATGCTAACAACTGAGCTCTAGCATTAGAGGAGAAAATCAGATTTTTAAAAATGCCTTTCTACGGCCAATTGGAACAAAGGTATATTTAATCCAAATAATCAAAATAATTCAAGACCACATATTTCTCAAAGGTAATCGTTCATCATTGAAAAATTGTGTGTCTTTGGGGATTGTTTTAAAAGTATTCTTAATTTATATTTCCATTCTAGGGTGTTGATCTTTGGAATGAAAAAAAAAACAAGACAAGATAGTGCAATGTGCTGCTCTATGCTCTCATAACTCATTAATAGATAAAACAGGGTTTTTGTCTGATTAGAATAATAAAATTATTTGGAGAAAAATTCTACTTCTGGGATTTTTTCAACATCAATGGGTGGCCTCAAGCGCTGGGATTCCCTGGTATTCTCCCAATGAAGGATAATCCTAGACAAAGTAAGCCAGGTGCTGCCATCTGTTGAGAATAAATATAAAATCTTCTCCATAAACAACCTTCATAAGCCACTACTTATCTCCTGACTAAAGTGGGAGGAAACACATTAACTTGCATAACTGGAAATGCATTTTACATCCCACCTCCATGTTTACAAACATGTGCATGGTGTTAATGGACACATGATTTATGTTTGCACCTCAGCGTAGATAAAAGTGCACTACGTTGTGCTTCTATGAAGATCTTTGTACAAATTGTACATTGTTAGCATAAACATCTTCACATGCTACAAATTAGAAAACTGCAATTTATACAGTGTAACAAGCCAGACAAGAGAAGGGAAAGGGAGATGAAAGTCATGATTCTGAACTACTGTATAAGGGGACATATTTTTCCCTTTCATTACATGCATCAAATTTTTAGGTATACCATCAGACTGAGTTCATCATAATTTCATCAACTTTAATGGTTGATATTAGTGCAGGAGAAACCCAAATGCTAAACTTGATTGACAAATGCTTGTTACATCATTTGATGGTTTCAGCTGAAGTGAACCAATTATATCAAAAGTATTTGAAGAGAAAATAGTTTTAGGTAATCAGGAAAACATATAAATAAAGAATTACTAAATATCTTTGGCCCTGTGATCATTGAAGCTTAACTGTTTGGAGAAAGACATTCTAGTGAATTCATTCTGCATTCAAGATGAGTTGTTCATTGACATATCAAATTATATGGCTGCACAACTTTATGAGATACAGTCATCTTTGATAGGCACATTCAGAAATAAGTCCCCACTAAACTGGATGAAGCAAACTTTCAAATCAGGGTCACCAGGAGATACAGACCCCAGATAATTTGCATGGTACAGGTAGTCCTCAACTTACAACAGTTCATTTAGTGAATGTTCAAAGTTACAAAAGAACTGAAAAAAGTGACTTATAACCATTTTTCAACAACCCTTGCAGCATCCTATGGTCACATGATCAAAATTCAGATGCTTGGCAACTGGTTCATACTGATGACATATTTATGATCAACATTCAGATGCTTGGCAACTGGTTCATATTTATGACAGTTGCAGTGCTCCAGATCTTTTGTGACCTTCTGACAGGCAAAGTCGGTGGGGAACCCAGACTCACTTAACAACCATGTTAATAAACAACCACAGTGTGGCAAGATAGGTTGTAAAATGGGGCAAAACTTGCTTAACACATGTCTCACTTAGCCACAGAAATTTTGGGCTCAACTGCAGTCGTAAGCCGAGGATTACCTGTACTGAATGTTGAGGATCCAGCAACAGGCAAATGGGGTCCTGCTTAAGTTGCACAACAGCGAGTTGAAGGCAGCGGTGGGATTCAAATATGTGAACAACCGGTTCTCTGTGTGGATGCCGCTTCCGGAAATCCCTTCTAGGCCTGGGCAACAAAAAATTAGCTGCCAGTGGTGCGAACCAGCTGAATCCCACCACTGGTTGAAGGGCTAAGAGAACACTGAAGGTGGCACCCATGGCCCAGGAGACTGATAGGGAATACTTGAAGGAAGGGCTCCAGCCTATTAGTGAGGAGGACCACTCAATGAAGGGGTACATATACCGCATCTTCAGACACACCCCTATTGTAGCAAAGGAGAGGAGACTGTGTGTGTGTGTGTGTGTGTGTGTGTGTGTGTGTGTGTGTGTGTGTGTGTGTGTGTGTGTGTGTGTGTGTGTGTGTGAGAGAGAGAGAGAGAGAGAGAGAGAGAGAGAGAGAGAGAGAGAGAGTGTAGAACGTCCGCTCAGGTGAAGCAGGAGAAAAGTGCGCGGGCAAAACAAACCCACTCACGCATACACATCCCCGCCGCTCTTCCCGCCTCCCGGACCGACTGAGCAGCTGCTGGCAGAATGCGCGCCAAAGGGGGCGCCCACAGAGCTCGCGCCGAAGGTAAACAGAGCCGGGAAAAACACGCGGCTGCCGCCGCTACTGCTGTTGGCGGTGGCCCGCGCGTCTTCTCCGCTTGGCAAGTCCGCCGCCTCTCGGCTGCGTATCTCAGTCATCCGGCTTCAGGCGTTGCAGGAGCTCCCGCCGGCATGTAAGAGGATTGTTAACAGTTGGGCACTCTCCGAAGCTGCTTCCCAGCTCCCCCCTTCCCACCTCGCGAAGAGGTGGCGGTGAAAGCGAAGAGCCACCTGGGCTTACGGACTAAGCAGCCCCATCCTGCCTCAGGCGCTGCTTTCCCGCCTTCCTCTTCCTCCCTCCACAGCCATCAGCAGCAGCGGTACCAGCACCCTTCCCCCCTCCCTTCCGCAAGACCAGGCGGCGCGCAGGTGGCGGGAACGAAGCGCGGGGGGGTGTGAGGGGCTTCGCCGGTGGCAACTGCCGGGCTTGCTGAAAGCTGCCTACGAGCGCCCTGCTGTTCGCCCACCGACCATGTTCCTCCGTTGCTGCTGTAGTGGCGGCAGCCGCTCGCTGCTGCGTCTCCTATTTGTGCTGGGTGTTTCGGCCCTGGCCGGGGCGGCCGCGTCGTGCTCTTCTTCTTCGCCACTCAGCGAGGATTCGGTGCAGGGGCTGGTCCGGCTCGCTTCCGTGGTGATCGAGGGCAAGGTGCTGGCTCACAGCGTGGCCGAACTAACGGCTGGCCGGAAAGGAGAAGGAGGAGAAGAAGAAGAAACGACGTCGCTGGTGTCACCGCCGCTGTTGAGGCTGTCCGTGCAACCTGCCGCCGTTGCCGCCGCCACCACCACCACCACCACCACCACCATCATCACCGCTTTCACCTCCAGCTCCTCCTCCTCCTCTTCCTCGTCCTCCTCCTCAGGAACGATCCTCCCCTCTTCGCCGGCTCCCAGCCCCCCGCTCCCGCACCTCGGCAGCCCGAGCCTGGCGCCCGCCTCCGCCGTAGCTCGAGTGCGCGTGCACCAGGTGTGGCCGGCGAAAAGCGGCGGGCTGCGGAAGGACGCGCTGCTTTGGCTGCTGCTCGGAGAGCGGGGCTCCGCTTGCGGGAGCGCCTTGAAGGAAGAGAGTCGCTACATCTTCTTCATGGAGCCCCTGGGAGCTGCGAGCGGGAACAGCAGTGAGTCGTCGCCACCGCCGCTGCTCTTTCGAGCGTCTTCCCCGCCCCTGGAGACGGGCAGGAATCTGAAGAAGGAGGTCAGCAGGGCGCTGTGTACCCGGGGATGTGGTAAGTCAGTGGCGGCTGTTGGAAAGAGACGGGGGAAGGGGGGAGGGGGTTTTTTGGAGAAAATAAGAGGTGACTTGGCTGGCCCAGATCACACAAGGGAGGTGGGAGGTGAATGAAGAAGAAAAAGGAAATTTAAAAAAAAGGGGGGGGGGTGTTAAAGTCTGAGGCCAGTTCCTTATTTTCTCCCCTCCCCTCTTTCACGCTCCCTGGGTTTTCTGGACGATTTGGGCGAGATGCTGGTTCGTCGTGGTTTTAAACGATTTTCAAGTGGATTTCCGTATGGCTGATTTTTCCAGAAGTTGAGTGGCAAGGGTGGGGAAAGTTTGTGAAAGCTCTCTGAGCAACAAGCAAGGCTTACGTCTTCATCTTTGGGGCTTTTGGAGATGGTGAGAAAGAACGCGGTCTTTCTTTCCTTGCCGTAGATAACTAGTTGGCTAAGTCTTTCATGCCCTCTGGAGAAGAGAAACTGCGAGGGGAAGGAAAGGGGGTCCTTTTTGCCCCATCCGAAGGGCTTCAGGTGTACATTTTTCTCCTTTGGAAAAAGAAAAAAAAACAAAAAAGCATTTTGAAAGCAGGCCAGATTTGTTAGGTTTGGATGTTTGTAGGTTGATCATTGTTTGTCTTGGTATGATTTTGCTAACTTTAGCGTGGTTGACAATTTCAGCCTCTGGTAAATTTTGCTTTATGCTGTGGTTGTAGAAAGTACTTTTCTGGCTAGTATTTGACATGTGACATTGTGTAGATATTTTTGCTGGATCCTTGACAGGGCCCAGTCATTATGTGAGAGCTACCTTAATGTCATTTGCTTACATCGACATGAACAAAATAAACCGTATTAACCAATTTCTCATATAATGATTCTGTTATTTCAGTGGCTGCAAAATGCTCAGTCTCTTCCTACTCCTTTTCTAAATGCATCAGCATCTTGTAAGTGATTGTGAAATGCTTTAAGTTGATTGTTTGTCAGTGGATGCCTAGTCATGTTTTATAACACCTGAAACTTAGTCTTGTCAGTACTACGGTATTTTATGTTTGCATTGTAGCCCGAATATATGTGTGGATAAAGGGCAGAAGGATAGAAGCACAGGTGCTGAAGAGTGATAATTCTCAGTCAAATTCAGAAATGTCTGTCTTTTTCATTTGATGTAATTTCTTACAGATTCATATTGGTCTGAACTGGCATGTTCTTTCAGTATTATTTATTTGATTAATTAATTTGTAATAATTTGGGCTTTTAATAGCAAAGGAATGGCAAATTGTCTCAGAATTACTGCAGAGGGGAACTGTCCACATTAAGCGGTGCTGATGTTGAGTAAATGACTGGGGATTCCCTAGTACTGCAGGATAGATGTCACTGTAAAACAAGGGAAATACTGTGTGGAGACCTGACATATTGGCTGATATAAAAGCTGAACATTTCTCTGGAGGAGACTGTTTTTCTCTGGTGGTGCAGAGGGAAAGGGGAATGCTTTTTCTATCCCCTGTAATAATATGATACATACATGATTTGGTCAGCTACAAAAGAAGAACTTGGCATTAACATCACATGAAATAAGCACATAAAAGGAATTTCTGGAATATCAGAATATTATTTTGTCAATTCTTAATTATTGTTAGATATCTCATGAGATTGTTATTTAAAGATTCAATTTCTTCTGTGTTTAATTAACTTCTTTGGGGGCATTCTATACCAGATATCTTAAAATACAGTGTAAAGCACAGTCCTTTAGGTACCATTAATTTGCCATCATACTTACAGTACTTTGGGGGGGGGGTTGATATAACTATGCATACACATACACACACCATATACACATATACATTTTCTCTGTCTCTATCTCTCTAGAAAGTAGTTATGGAATCCTGTTAAAAATAATAAAAGAGAAAACTCAAAAAGAAATAGAAAACAATAGGCACACTTAAGTTAAACATAATGTGTACATCTAATACACATTATACACTTTTACAACATTATTACTGATTCTCAGGGAATGTGGATGTACAGTACACTTCATCTGAAGAGCTTAATCTTTATAATTTATGTCTCAGTGTTTGTTCACTGTTTCAATGTCTGCTAGTGGTACAGTAAGAAACGGAATGTGTATGTATTGTCAGTGCTATTTAGGTTTATACAAGACTTTTGCCTTAACTATATTGAAGTTACCTATTCCTAAAAATAAAGAGGAGAGGAACATAACTCAGTAATCTACCTAACTAGAGGATTCTGTACCATTTCTTTCATCAATAACGAACTAAATTTTTCCAGCTTTTAGTAACTGCATTCTTAAAATAAAATCTGTTGACCTCTCAATGCTCCAGACATTGCAGTATAGCCCCAAATATTCATAAAGATGGTGTAAAACATATTTTATAACAATGTTAAGTAAATAAGGCATGACGTAAACATATGCTATTATCTGGTTCCAGATTCATCTGCTCAATTAAGATGTCATGTCAAATCATGGTTTTATAAAGTTGATGTACTGCTTTGTATGATGGCTAAATTGACAAACGATGGCTTTTGACATTGATTATATACCCAGAATTAGAAGCTATATTTTCTATGCAGAAATTTTGTAAGCAATGGCTGAAATCCTTTGACCTGTTTTTTTTTAAAAAGCAAATTATGTTATTGCTTATATTACATGCAAACCAGACCTATATTTGAAGTAGTTGGGCAGTGCTGTCTAGATAGATAAAATAGCAGGGGCCATTCATGCTGCCTATAAAGCAACCTATGCCTAGATATAAAGTGCTCAGTAAATAAAATGTGGAAAGCAAACAAGTCAAAACGTGGCTCCATTTGTACTTTAGAAAACTCAGTTTAGACTCTAAGCCATGGTCAGCTTGGGTATCAGAATTCAGCCATTATATGATCAGCTAGTTCAGATTAGGATGCATTCAGCCTGTACTTAAACTGCAATTTATTTCAAAGGCTTAGCATCTCTGCCTTGTTATACAGGCCAATAAACTTGTGAAGTTTTATCAAAAGATAAAAACAATACCTTTTGGTCATTTTTAGAGGGTGAATTTTTATATCTTGAAAATGAATTTTTGATTTGACAGGTAGTCCTTGACTTACAACCATCATTTAGTGATCATTTGAAGTTACAACAGCACTGGAAAAAACTGGTTTATGATGGGGTTTTCATACTTGTGACTGTTGCAGCATCCCTATGGTCAGATGATCAAAATTTGGCAATTGACATGTATTTATGACAGTTGCACTGTTCCAGGGTCATGTGATCACTATTTGTAACTTTAAGCCTTCCCGGCTGGCTTCAGATAAGCACAGTTAATGGAAAAGGCCAGATTTGCTTAGCAGCTAAAGTGCTTCACTTAACAACTGTGGCAAAAGAAGATTGTAAAACTCACTTAACAACTGCCTTTGCTTAGCAATATAAATTTTGGGCTCAATTGTGGTTTTAAGTCAAGGTCTACATTCTTAGGGAAGAAGTCTTGTTAATCTCCCATACATGCAAAAGTGCAAAATAATGCTAAATATAAGCCTCTGTGATGATTCCTTATAAAAATGAGGGTATAGATTATTCATTCTGTATTTTATAAAAAAAATAAGTAGTGTATAGATGAAGGCAGGGAGATAACCTCTTCTACATGGTTTGGTAAAACTCAGATATGCTTTCAGATGAAAAGGATGTCAGAAAACATCTGCTCATTGTTTGACAGTCAACCTAATTCTATACTGCTGAAATAATTAAGTGCAAGCATTCCTCTTTTGTGTACTTCCAGCATTGTTTATAGACAGAGTGCTTTGGTGATGACGCCAGTTAACGTGCAATTTCCATGCAGTTTCCATACTTAACTGGCATACTGACGGGCAGCAGCAATTCATGTAGCTTGCTAATGGAAAAGGCCAGCTGCCACCAATGGCAATCAACAGGAGGAAAACGGGAATCCCCTCTTTTACTGTAATGATTGCAGAAGCGGTGATTAATTCAGTAGCTTTGCGAATACGTAATTTCTGATTGGATTGCTGGCTTTATTGGTATAATATCTAGGCTCCTAGTCCCATCACTATCAAGATATTTGCCCAATGCTGATCAAGGTGCATCTTTGTCACCTTCCCAAAAGTGCTGGTAAGAATGAGTATTTTATCTCTTATGTTCATTAATGCTGCCGTTCATTGAGATAATGCTGGCCAATGCTGATCAGCACTCTGGAAGATGATGCAAGAATCATAATAAGAAAAATAGAATAAAATGTTCAATTCTGAAATATTCCGCTTTAGATTATATGCAAGTGGATGTTTCTACAGGTATGCAAATGGTCCCTGAATATTTATCCATATAATAAGCTCGTTGTTTCTATTAAATTAGATAAAACATATTTAAACCTCTTTTTATGTATTATTTCAATGCATACTTAGTAGTTTTATTTGTTTATTTTTAATATAAAAGAGAATGCAAACATATGTCTATTCATCTGCAATCTGAGATACAGCTGAGAAGGAGTATTTAGTCTGCTTATGGATCAGTGGTTACTGAAGGTGGATATATCTAATTATTTTATATGTATCTTAATTATGTGTTTAATATAGAAATGCATTTGCTGAATAATTATTATGGATTATTCTTGTTCCTATATAAATCTAAATTCCACTGTATTTATTTTGTTTGTTTTTTCAAGGATGTGACATTGCAAAGCAGTTGATATAATCTGGCCCAGGATCTGTATTACTGGACTTTAAATAGGCTAAAACAGAGGTTCCCAACTGAGGGTATGAGACTATATTCCAGGGGGTGCGAAAACGTGGATTTTCAAAATTATAATGTATATGCATAATTTGTTGCTGTTATTTCAAACTTTTGTAAATATATATCAGAAGCTTTCTAGGGGTGCAGGGTATAGAAAAGGTTGGGAGCCGCTGGGCTAAAACATGTTAATCTGCTGCTTTCTTCAGTCCATATAAGACAGTTTTGAGTCTAATGAAAACTAAAGTTAGCATGTTCCCTTTATACTGCATATCTTGTTCTTATCAA